GTATAAGTGAGAAAGGCGAGGGTGCCGAGCAAGATTTGGGAGAGTGGCGAGCGAGATCTGGAAAAGGAAAGAAAGGGGAACAAAATATATGTATTTATACAATTTTCTCTGTTTTATACAATTAGAAACAATTTTTATACACTTGTGATTCTATAAAAAGTAAGGAAGCGAGCAAGAGATTGAAGGAGAGTGAAAGACGAGATATTTGGGAGAGAGGCGCCAGACAATTTTTTACAAACATTTACTATGAAACACAATTAAATCAAACCCTAACTACTCTATTTATTTTAGCTTATTAGTTTGCTATTATATATAATTTTCTCAATTTTAATGTATAGGAATGAAGTGATATGAAGATGAAGAGATTTGGAATAAATTGAATAAAAGTTTAAAGAAAAAAAGGAAAAAGAAATCATGGAGACATGAAAGTAGTGGCTTAATGATTGGGACATTGTCAATAATTAGTGACATTATGGGTGTCTTTGGTAGGGAATTTTTTTTTCCTTCTAAAAATATATACTTATTTTCTAACGTCTAATAGATTTAATAAAATTAAAAATATTTTTAGCGAAAAAATAAAAAATGCTTAAATACGAAAAATTTTCTTAATAAAAGTAGGTAAAACAAGTTTTCGATACAAGCGATATTCTATATTTATTTTATCTTCCCGTCCATTTAACGCCCTCTAACCCCTACCCCTTTACCAACCCAGCCTCGCCACCCTTTGAGGCCCCGGTCCCTACTCTTTATTTATAATGTTTTTAATATAATATATTTTTGCTAACTTACCAAATACTAAGAAAAATAAAAAAATATAATTTATTATTCAAAATAAATTCTACAAAAGTAATTTTGATAAAAAAATATTTCTGCATGACATAAAGGAAACAAAGAAAAGGAGAATTTAAGATATGAAAAATAAAGAAAACATAGAAAAGGAGAATTTAAGAGACAAAAAATAAACTTGGCAGAGTTAGGTATGATAATTGAATTATTTTTCCTATAAATTAGTTGGGCTAGTAAATCCGATGGCATCGTGTGCTAATACAAAAAAAAAAATAGGAATTTAGGAAGAAAATTGAGAAGATGACCAACTTAATTACTTCAAACATAAATAAATTATACATAAATTTTTGTTTATCACCAATATAAAATATTCATAATACATTTATTTCACAAATTATGGAGGACAAGAAATTAAAGAAGGGACCTATATATGTTTGTTAAACTTGGAACACTTAAATTTCATCAACAATCCATGTGATCAAGGTCAATATTCTAATAAAATAAGTACCTTAATTTCCATAAATCAACTTAACTTAATTATAATATCAATACTTTTAGACTATACATACATTTATATAGTCATTCATAAATTCCCATCGAATCTCCCAAACTCCAAATTAATCATAA